CATTCTCCTCAGAAAAATAAATAAATATATAAAATAGCATCTTCTCCCAGACTCACAAGTCCTAACAGGGCAAGATATGCATCTTCCTCACAAGCATACATGAGATTTGCATAATAAGATCTCTAGCTCCCACAGCCAAGCCACGACACTTCCGCATAACCATGTTAAACCACTGTTGCATCACAGAGAGTTCTAGCAATGATTTGCAGCGCTCAGAGGAAAGCTTATCTCCACGTACTAGCAGCAACCAGCACAAAGCAAAGGGACGAGTAACACATAATTTTCATGCCACCCAGTGGAACTAATGGAGTATAATATCTACAAACTACAACCACTCGAAACAAATCAGGGGATCAGCATATTCAAGTCAGTTAACTAGCAGCTTCAACAAGAACAATTGATTCTACATACATGCATGTATAGACTAAAATCTGAGGGTACTTTTGTTTGTAAAGAGCACGAGTACTTTTGTTTGAGAATGTATGCCACTTGTCAGTAATGATACCAAGAAGCGACAGAGCCACACTCTAATAAAATCCTGATAAAGAAAGCAAAGAAATTATGTTATGGACATCACCCATCTAATGATACACTCTGAAATAGAGCGAAACGCTCGCTCATTGGATACAAATGCTAACGCTACTGTGAATCCATTATCGGTAACCTATCTCGTGGACAGAAATAATGAGATAGTGCTTTACCTTTTCAAGAAACCGACAACCTTTAGTCCACTGTTATGGGCCATCTAGATACAAAACAAAATGCACGGGTTCATGAGAAGTTAACAGCATCAGAAAAAGGCGTAGACTAACAAACTTAACAGTTTGCTTGGCCAATTGAAAAATGTGAACTTGTGCATCCTAGCAATTTGATTACAGAATTAAATACACACAGAGGAATGATGAGATGTCTGAAAATGGTAAAAGAGGCATCTGCTAGCAATCACAACAATCAACCTAGCTCTAATAACTAAAAAATAACATTTTGAAGAACGAAATATCCAATAAACGGACTCGCTAAGAAAATAGCGCTTAATGGTTTCTTCATATACATTGGTGTAATGTGTATTATCAGTGTTTCCTCATACCGATTGATTTCAGCAATCAGTATCTTCAAACGACGGATTCTTGGCCGTAGTCAAGTTTGATCTTTGAGCAGCTATCTAAAAACTAGATTGGTGTTTTTCTATTTAAATGTACAAAAAGGAAAAGGAAAAAAAAAGGATACGTATGCATCAGCTCCATCCAGGATATATGTACCATTCCGGTGGAACTAATGGAGTATCATATCCACAAACTACAACCACACTCGAAACGAATCAAGCGATCAACAAGGAAAATGCATATTCAAGTCAGTTTACTAGCAGCCTCGACAACAACAGCTGACTCTATGTATAAACTAAAATCTGAGGGTACTTCTGTTTGTAAAGAGCATGGGTAAAAGTGACATGCCACTTGTTAGTAATGATACCAAGAAGCAACAGGGCTACACTCTGAAATAGAGCGAAATACAAGAAGCCTCTCATAGCAATCACAACAATTACAACTTATAAGGGGAACAGGTTTATCATTTCACTGGGCATGACAAGTCAATGTACAGTTGGCCTCCAATATCATCATAGGTCACACCAACTTGATGAAACATATAAACACTCAAGTGTATGATGCATCACATAGATTTACTGCATGGACCACCACAAAGTATCCTATATCATCATAGGTCACACCAACTTGATGAAACATATAAACACTCAAGTGTATGATGCATCACATAGATTTACTGCATGGACCACCATCATTCCCAACAAGGCAACAAAATCTTGCTGAAACCTAAGAAGAGTCACTGTAAAAGCCTCAACAGATTTGTGTCCTGCTGAAAATAACAAATAGTTCAACAGTTGAATAATAATGCACCTTTAACGTCCATCTCCAACAAAAGTAATTCTTACACCCAGGAGCCTTTCCATAACCCTGCATTGACAAGTAAAATAAGCAGAGCATTAACAGGGCAAAATGACATGTAGCAAACACCTAATCTGGAGATAACTGGACATATGAAAGGTTTAAGTACAGACAGCATGCAATGCTTACTTTGTTACAAATAAAATTCCAGATCATGATAACTACAACTTATCTGCTTGACAACTACTCCCTCCGTTTGGAATTACTTGTCGCATAAATGGATGTATCTAGACGTATTTTAGTTCTAGATACATCCATTTCCGAGACAAGTAATTCCGAACGGAGGGAGTAGAAGTTAAACTAATTCTAGCATGCTTTGGCAGTTACTTTGGAAGTTAAATAAAGTACTGAGATTCTTTGTCTTTTCAGATCAAACATAGTTCAAAACCTTAATTTTCCCTTGCGAAAATCATACAGACACAGGTATCAAATTTTTCTATCCATCACTGAACTTCAATGATATCTTTATCCAGATGAACATCCAAGATGGCAGAAACTAATTCAGGTACAGATTATGTTGCCACTTGAAAGTAACTTGCTCCCAAAGGCTAGCGGATTATGTGCAGCTTTTCGTACAAAAAAGAATACTAGGGGCAAGTAATTAAGAACCTGCAGTCTCTGCACAAATCCAGACCATGTATTCAGAGTATGGATGTACATGATACCAACTGTTTGGTGCCTATGCATGTGTTTAAAACATGAATGAGGACGAAAAGAAGTTCATAACCAATCCATGGTTTCTTCTCTGCTGAGTGGTGACATTACATATCAGTATCCAGGGATCAAATTATCAGCTTCATCACTCGTTAACAACCACCAAACCAGCATCTAACAGACATACAGCAGCGGACAACCAGCACACAGTTACATCAGAGCACGTCCTTGGCTTATGTGAATCTGAAATTAGTGGGCACTTCCCCTTTGCAAGCAGCATCGTAGTCTTTTTCAAGGTGCGGTGCAGCTTCCTTATGAGGGTGTATGAACTTCTTCTTGAATGCCATGTCGGACTCCTTGAAAACAGTATAGTAGCTTGAGTCGCGCTTGAGCAATCCATTTTCCTTGAGAAACTTCATAGCATAGTACCGGGGCCTGAGCCGGCCCTCTAGGCTGTGCCCAAGTATTACCGACCGTTGAGCAATGTGCACCGGTTCCAAGCCCACCTCGGAGATGAGGAACTCAGACCTGAGCTGCAGCGATTCCTTGGACTTATTCAGCACCGGTGGAAACTTAGAAATGGCCATGCCTACCTCAGCATCCGTCCACCTGAACGTGTTCCTCAAGTACTCCACTCTGGCTGCTACCTCCTCCTCTCTGAGAGATGCAACAGCATGCAGCGCGTGCCTGAACATCCTAGAACCACGGGGCACACCTATTGTAACCATGACAACTACAACCTATCTGCCTGGCAATTGAAAGTTAAACTAATTCTAGCACGCCTCGGCAGTTACTTTGGAGGTTAAAGAAAGTACTGGAATTCCTTGTGTTTTTGGATCAAACATGATTCAAATCCTTAATTTTCCCTTGCGAAAATCATACATACACAGATATCAAATTTTACTATCCGTCACTGAACTTCAATGATATCTTCCTCCAGATGAACACCCAAGATGGCAAAAACTAATTCAAGTACAGATTATGTGGCCAGTTGGAAGTAATCTGGCCCAGAAGGCTAGCAGATTATGGCGCAGCATTTTAAATAAACAACATACTATGGGGAAGTAATTAAGGACCTGCAGTCTCTGCAGCAGATATTCAAACCATGTATTCAGAGCATGGATGTACATGACACCAACTGTTTGCTGCCTATATTCAGACCATGTATAGGCCTGGGGAAGCAATTAAGAACCTGCAGTCTCTGCGGATATTCAGAGTTTCAGGCAATGAATTCAGAGCATGGATGTACATGATACCAACTGTTTGGTGCCTATATGCACAATCACACCGACCAAAACAATAAATTAACCACTCATTTTAAGCAATACTAAAGAAGATGCACACAGAAGGAACACCAACTAGCTGCTAGTGAACCTCCTTGTGGTGCTTGGCACAAAGAATTAACCACAGGACCAAAACACAATAATAAACTTAAAAAACTAAAGCTATCCACAATAAACACATAATTTATGGCCATGGTGCAGAGCATGAAAAATCCACAAACACACAATACAAAATTAGTGCTTGTTGTGTCGGTCAGGTTACTAGTATTAATAACATTACCAGCATAAAAATGAACAGAGAAACCTAAATTTACTTGCTTGAACTTAAATGATGCCAAGTTGCCAACCCTCCTCCAAGTGAGAGTTCGATGTTTAGTTATGCCATCTCTCTTTAGCAGATAATCTGTACATATGGGAGCCCCCCACATTTCATCCTGCAGCCTAGTTGGTATTTCCAATATGACCAATTGCTCCAAATGGTTACCCCTGATCCAACTAGAGGAAAACTCACTTCCAGACACTTTCCATAATTGAAAGAATATCTATCTATTTCATTAGTTAAAGCAAAGATGGATCACTATGAATCTGCATATGAGAAAACCAAAATGATTTTTATATCAAACCATAACTGAAAAATAGATTAAGCTAAAGGCAGGTGAATTGACCGTACCAAGAAGACTATTTACCTAAATTTGGGACGGGCATCAGATTGATCCTCCAATTATCCACTATGAATTGCAAAAACATCAATAGAACAGTAGGAGTGCATTACCCACATGAAGAAGACATTATGTGGCTCACTGTCTGAATGCACCAGCAACTAACTTGAAAACTGAAATTTTCATGCATTGCAGAATGGACTGATCTTGAAAACTAACATTTGAATGCATTGCAGAATGGACTGACCTCACACTTAATTAGTTCCAATACGTGTGTCTAAAACATGAATGAGGACGAAAAAGGTTCATAGCCAATCCATGGTTTCTTCTCTGCTGAGTGATAGCATGCCATACCAGTCTTCAGGGATCAGATTATCAATTCCATCACACGTTAGCAACGACCAACCCAGCATCTAACAGTCATACAGCGGCAGACAATTACATCATAGTCCGTTCTTGGCTTGTGTGAATCTGAAATTAGTCGGCAGTTGCCCTTTACAAGCAGCATCATAGTCTTCTTCAAGGTGTGGTGCAGCTTCCTTATGAGGGCATATGAACTTGTCCCTGAATGTCTTTTCGGTCTCCCTAAAAACAATGCTGTAGTTTGGGTCACGCTTGAGCAATCCATTTTCCTTGAGAAACTTCACAGCACAGTACCGGGGCCTGAGCCGGCCCTCTAGGCTGAGACCAAGCATTACGGGTCGATGAGCAATGTACGCCGGTTCCAAGCCCACCTCAGAGATGAGGAACTCAGACCTACGCTGCAGTGATTCTTTGGACCTCGACAGCATCAATGGGAACGTAGAAACAGCAATTCCCACCTCACCATCCGTCCACATGAACGTGTTCCTCAAGTACTCCACTCTGGCTGCTATCTCCTCCTCTCTGAAAGATGCAACAGCACGCAGCGCATGCCTGAACATCCTAGAACCACGGGGCACACCTATCTTTTCGGCACATGCCACCAGTACCTGGAAGCGCTCCAGATTGGTGGTGAGCAGACCTGGTTGATTGCTGCATAGCTTGGCAATATCACAAGCACCTAGCCCGCACTCCCGCAGCAACGTGACCTTGGGCTTCACCACACCGTCTAGGTCAGACGAAAGAAGGTAGGAGTTCCTCTTGAGGGCCCGGAGGAGGTTCTCAGAGGACCCAAAGAGAGGCAAGTAGTAGTGCAGCTTGGAGACTATGGATCTACAGCGGAAGCTGTTAGGGGAGAGCGAGACGAGGCGTACGATGTCAGAAGGCGAGAGACCGACGCCGGTGAGCCCCGCGACGACGGGGGCCAGGGTTTTCTCCACTTTGGCGCAGAGGAATTGCGGGTCCCTGGCGACGAGAGCGGCGATGTCGGCGTCGGAGAGGCCGAGGCCGGCGAGGAAGGCGAGGACGGCGTCGGGATTGGTGGGGGATTTGATGTGGGAGAGCTTCGGGGAGGCCTTGAGGGCCTGTGCTCGGGTGAGGCCGCAGGTGGCGACGAGGTAGTCGTCGACGGCGAAGCTAGGGTTGGGGGAAACGGCGGGCGCGGCGGCGGAGAAGAGGCGGTGGAGAGGGGAGATGGTGGAGGCGGAGGGAGACGATAGGAGCTGGGCAAGGACGCTGTGGCGGAGCCGGAGCATGGCGCTGCGGTGGCGCCGGCGGCGAGGAAATGGGGAACGACGGCCTGGTGCGAGAGCGAGAGCGAGAGGATTTGTGTGGTCTGTTCTGGTTCGACCTTGATGCTGACAAGGTGACCCCACGCGCCAGTATCTCTGATAATTGACTGGGCTGGGCTGGGCTGGGCTGGGCTGGGATGGGCCACGCGAGAGGATTTGCAGTGAAGAAAATTTATTCTTTGTTTCTCTTTCAATGACACAAAAAAAAAACTGATGCACTTTCATCCGTCCGATCAAGATTTTAAGTGTTCTTTGCCCTGAATTCGACCTGATTGTGAATTTTACAAGAGCACCCGCTACTACTTCTTGCCGCATTGTTTCAACAACTAGGTACTAATTATGATTCCTATCCGCCTCTCAAGACCTAAAGTATTATGATCTTGTGCTAGTTGCTCTTTCCCCGGGTATCTAGTTGGTCCCAATATCTTCAAATCATTCAAACAAAATTGTTTAGCTCAATATCCAAAAAGAGAAGTTGGAGACATGCATCTAGCTCACTCAAGGAAGTTTGTTTTTTGACCAAACTTTACTTTTTTTTTATTGACATCTATGCATTATCTATACAATCACATGATTCTCAGAAGAAGAAGAAATCTATACAACCACATTACTTGTTTCCTATTTTGCCTAGGAGTCAAGGAATCACCATTGACTAGAAGGGTAGGGCGATCTTTGTTGCGCCATTCGTGTTGTTGGATTTTCATTATTCTTTTACCGCTCATGCTTTAAGATATAAGGTGTACTTCCTCTGTAAAAAGAAATATCCAAGCACTCTTATATTTCTTTACAGAGGGAGTATTAGCTTTTTTTAAGTCAAACCTCTTTAAGTTTCACCAAATTTATTAAAAAATATATTAATATCCATAATATCAAATTAGTATCATTAGATTCATCATGAAATGAATTTACATATTTTTTATTTAGTAGTGTGGATGCCAATATTTTCACCCCGAACTTGGTCAAAGTTAAATAAATTTGACTTTTCGAAGAAACAAATATACCTTATATTTTGGAACGGAGGGAGTATTTGGTTTGGCTAGGGGGAGATGATCGAGTTTGTTTTACATTTTATTTATAATACAGTGTATTGGTGGGCCTTTCGCGGTGTAATTTTGTGTTATCTGCTAATCAACTCATACTTATGTGGGAAATTTTGTGCACTGGTGTCTGCATGCAATATTTTGGTGCTAAAATATCACATATTGTTGCTTCTTTTTTCATATGTTTTTATATGCCGGTTGCTCCTGATTAATTTTTAAAATTGTTGACTCGGCCAAAATCATGAATCAAATCTGAAATTGGATACCTCAACTGAATGAAAAGGCTTAAAAATTAAGGACCATAATAAATTAAAAGAATTCAATAAAAGAGTTTCTTAATATCGTTTAGATTAGTGATCTGAATGATCTTAGAGTAGTTTACAGGAGTAAGATTTAATAAACGCTTACTATAGATAGCATCAATCACAATTGCCTTGGTTGTAATAAGTTTCAGAGCTCACCCATCAAGTCTGGAAATTTCTTTTGGGCTCCGGTTTAAATTCAGAGTTTTGAGTAGAAAAATCATACCACATTGAATTGATTGTTCGCTCAACTTGTTGTTTGTTCAGAGCTGACCTGACCATGGAATCCCGCAATGCAAAGCCCCAGAAGGAACTTCTTCTCTAAACAAACTAGTAGAGTGCCCGTGCGTTGCCACGGGCTTTTGAAATAGTTTGCAAGAGTTTCTAAGGCCTCGTCCCGCCGTAGATTCAGACCCCCGCCACTAATTCCACCCCGCTTAGGCTGCCGCCTGCCGCCGCGCCGCCCCATCGCGTTCGCCTCCGCTCCGGCCGCCTCCGCCCCGCCCCGACCCCGCCCGTCTTCGGTCCATCCTTCGCCCGGCCCCGCTCCATCCGCCTCCTCTCCGGCCCTGCTCCGTCCGCCTCCTCTCCGGTCCAGCCACCGCCCCGTTCCGTCCGACTTCGCCTCGCACCGCATGTCGCCGCCCCACTCCGTTCGCCTCCGCCCCGCGCCGCACGTCGTTGCCCCGCTCCCCGCTCGGCCGCCACCCGCTCCCCGATATGTGAAACTATTGGGGAAGACTAATGAGTTGTCACAATGTTTGCAAAGGAAAGATCAAAATATTGTTCTTGCAGTGAGTTTGATTGGTGTCACATTGCAGAAACTTCAAGACTTAAGAGAAAATTGTTGGGATCAACTCTTGGAAGAGGAAATGACTTTTGTGTTAAACATAACATTATATTGCCTAACATGGATGATACAATTCCTACTCGAGGTCGATCAAGGGGGCGTGGTGGTCCAATGGTAACTTATTTTCATCGCTTCAGGTATGAATTATTCAATGTTGTGCATGACCAAGTTATTACTGAGTTAAATAACCGCTTTGCTGAAAGATCTACTCAATTGTTAAGATGCATTGCTTGTCTTGATCCAAGGAAATTATTTGCTAATTTTGATGAAGACAAACTTGTCGAACTTGCTAAGTTGTATGCTGATGACTTCTCCACATATGAGATTTCTTTTGTCCTTAGAAATCAGCTTGGAACATTCATCACTGATGTGAGAGCTAATCCAGATTTTGTAAGTTGTAATGACCTTGGTAATCTTGCTGTGAAGATGGTTCAGACTGGTAGACACATCATTTTTCCTTTGGTATATCGCCTCATTGAGTTGGCATTGATTTTGCCTGTTGCAACCGCGTCAGTGGAAAGAGCTTCCTCAGCAATGAGTATTATCAAGACAGAGTTGAGGAATAGGATGAGTGATGATTGGCTGAATTATAGGATGGTTTGCTATATTGAGCGAGATGTATTTTGCAACTGCTGTTGATGATGATATTGTATATCGCTTTCAATCATATAGGTCTCGCAAAGGGCTCTTACCTCGTCGAAGTGGTAAGTTTTTAAATATGTATCAACAGTAATTATTTCACTTGATGCTTCTCTTATGATATTTTGCTTTCGATGCCTTGAAGGTGTTGACTCTTCTTCCACCACTGACGAGGTTATGCGAGGCACTGATGAAGCAAACCATTGATTTGGTACTCTTTTATCATCTACTGTTCTTTGAAGTTTTTATCATGTTTTTATCTATTTCGTTGCATTGTTAAGCATTGAGTTTAAATTATAATTTTTTCATGCAACTGAGACATTTTTTGTATGGGGTATCTTTTGAGGTAGCTAAAACCCTTATGGACATTAAGATTTTCCCTTGCGACGTTTTTTTTGGCCCGGGGCTTGGTTCAATCCTGGCTCCCCCACTGTTCTAACCCACGTCAACAAGCTGATTTGCCCAATTACTGGAGGTTGGGATGAATCTCTAATCAAAGACATTTTATGGCCTGATGATGTAAAGCATATTCTTCAGGTCCCGCAGAGACAAGGCGTAGATGATTTTACTGCCTGACACTTTGATGGGAGAGGAAGACATTCTGTCAGAGGTGCATACAAACTTCATGTCCAGCTAGAGAAGGAACGTAAAGGAAGGAGCACCGGCAGCAGTACTATGGTAGCTCGTGATCTGAATTATTTCCCTGACTAATCATGGAAGCGTATCTGGTCATTGCCGTGTCCACATAACATCAGAATGTTCGTATGGCATCTGGAACATAATTTGCTAGCCCTCTGCATAAATCTGACAAACCGTGGTGTCAAACTTGACAACACCAAGTGTTTCTTCTGCGGTCGGATGGATGAAGATGGGGCTCATTTGTTTGTCAAGTGCAAAGCAGTTAAGGTGCTGTGGCGATCGCTTGATATGGAACATGTCTGGGCGCAACTTGAAGCAGCACATTCAGTACATGAGACATTGGATATGTTATGGGCCTTACATGAGCAAGAGAGAGTCATGATTTTAACCATGTGGTGGCAGTGGTGGTAGAACCGTAACAAGGTACGAGAAGGTGAGCTTCCTCTGTCAGCCGAGGAAACCGTTCGGCTAATGAAGAGCTATAGCCTTGAATATGCTGATTTTTTTTGGCAAGGATGTGAAAGCCAAAACTGGCACACGCTGGAGACCGCCACTTGATGATATCATAAAGCTTAATGTGGACGGAGCTTTCAATGCTGGCGATGCTCGTGCGGAAGGGGTGTTGTTGCTCGTAACAGCCATGAAAATATTCTTTATGCAGGTGTAGGAAGTACCAATGCTATCTTCGATGCTTTTGGGGCGGAGTTAAGAGCAATGGAACGTGCTATCACCATAGCTGTTGATCGTGGTATGCTACGGGTGGCTTTTGAAACAAATTCCAAACTGCTAGAAGAAGCGCTGGACTTTGCCCGTGTCGAGTCGTCGCCATACGCTCCAGTCAACGAGGACCTGAAGCTTCAAATGAAGATGTGGTTCTCATTCAGCGAGGTCCGAGCCTGTCGTCGTGAGGCCAATACTGTAGCCCACGAATTAGCTAAGATTGGTCAGTGTTGTTTTAACTCCAAAACTCTGTACTGGGAGTCCGATATTCCGCCCATTGTGGCTGGCTGTGCTTGGAGTGACATGCCCACGCACACGTAAGCAATAAAACTTGCTTCCCCTAAAAAAAAGAAACCGACCAACGTTGTTCCTACCTAAAAAAGGAAAAAGATAAGAGAAGAAGCTAGTAGAAGTGGGTGAATAGCTCCCATGCGACGTCGTTGGTGTGAACTGTCTCTCATGCGACGTCGTTGGCTGTAATAGCTTGCATGCGACATCTTCGTTGGAAAAAATAGCTCCCATGCGACACACCATTTACGCGGCTAGTTGGCTGTCCGTTAGGCTGAGATTTGGTTAGGACACGGGGGGTTATGTGCTCTGACTGGTGGGGTCCACCTATGGCCACGTAGTCAAGAGTCAACCGTCCACGACTCGACCGGCGACTGTGTGACCGTGCTCGACTCGCCCGTGCTGGACTGGGCGAGCGGCGCCGCCGTAAGCAACTTCTCCAACAGTGGTTTCTTCTCCGCGGTGGTGGAGCGCATTTCTCGGCAG